ATTAGGTTGAACTTAAAACTATTTTAAAACTTTTCCATCCGTTTGTTGGTAAACAAATGTAGCTGCATAAGTATATATTCACGCGGACAGCATTTAGCTTTGACTTTGTACGTGACCCTTTATCTAGTTGCTATTGTTGATCGAAGGCAAAGACCAATAAAAAATCAATTACCCTATAATGTTTTTCAAGATCCTCCGTAATTTGATCTTCAACGGTCATTTTTATTTTTTTAGCTGACGCGCTTCTTGTCGTAATGTCTTCGCTTTTCCGTTTGTGGGAAGGTAAAATTTTTTTGGTCAGAAGATGAATATTGTCTATCAGATCTTTGATTTTTTTTTTCATTTTTGTAATAATTTAACAACAAAAATTAATGAAAACGGAGCTGAAATTATGCGAAAATGGATACGTCTGCTCGATAGGATATTTCCTGCTGACTGAATTTTGTACGCCACACTGACAAAGTATACAGACCAGGTATAAACACGTTTGTCCTTGCCTTGAAATTTCAATAGATGGAGCTGGGAGGTAAGGTACTACATAGAGAGCGAAACATCTGCCGGGTAACAATAGAGCGCTCGGGTCGGGGCGCTCAGTTCGGTTCGGGTATAGGTACAAAAATCCTGTAAGTATAAAAATACTCATAACTTCGTCAATTTTGCTCCAATTGACTTGAAATTTTGACACAATATTCTTCAGTTATTACGGATTCAATTTCTAAAAAAAAAAATACCTTACCCCCCCTTAAGGGAAGAACGAAAATGAAACATGTAATGTAAAATAGAATTCTAAACATAAAAATAGATCAGGCCTCGCTTAGGAGATAAAAATTGATAAAATATAGTTAATCTGTGCCATTGCGTTTTATAAAAGCGATTGGTTTCATATTAAGAATTCAATTTTAAATAATGATATTTCAACTTATTCCTCACGTTAGCCTGTATAATTTTCTAGGTGCAAAGTTTTTTAGTTCTTGATTATTGTTTACTTTGTAAGTAGGTGACAGGAAAGAAACATTTATATAGTTAAACATATTCCTTTATTTATACATATTTTCTAGACCATTTAATTAGGTGTTAAGGTATAGGTAGGGGAGACCGAGGGGAGTTGAAACATTTTTGACATTTTGTTTCATACACCAAATACTATAGACAGAAATCGTATGATATTAGTACCAATCGATAGGTCATTCTTTACACCTGCGAATGACTAACATTAAGAAATTGTAAGCCTTAAATATTGTGATGAAAAATCGACTTAACCGTAATAAGTCAACTTGTTTCAACTCCCCTCACACCGAGATAAGATGAAACAGGGGCCGAGGAGAGATGAAACATATGATTTTTGAGAAGTATTAAGGGATGTAAAATAAAAATTATGATATAATTTAAAGGTATTTATTAAAATAAACAATTGTAGAAATAAAAGTCTTTAAAAAAATTAAGAAATATATAGAAGTATTTTTCTTGCACCCATTCGCAGTGCCAATTGATCCAGTAGGTCCATCGCGTATAAAGTGATCATTAAATCTTTTCCGCGGAAAGATGAACATCGGGGATATGTGATTCCCAAGGGCATTGCCTGCTAGTGCTATAGTAACCAATGTTCCCCTCTCTGCGGAAGTCATGGCACTCACTTGTTTCTGTCCTCGTCGGGCAATGACGCGGTCTAATTTCTGAACAGTTATGATGCCAGATTCGTCAACGTTCCATATATCCCTCCCTTGTAACTTGTGTTTGTCAACTACTGCAGTATAATTTTGAAAAAAAGTTGCACGTTTGTTCTATTAAAACTTGTAGTCTCAGAGAAAGAACAGGATGACGTTTCATAAAAGATCTAAGCCAAACCTTTCCAGCCATTTCATGCGCAGTCCAAGAAGAAGGAATTTTTTTATTACATTCCACAGCCAACCTATAGGCAAAAGTTCTGGCTTCCTTAGTTCTTAGGCCAAAGTTAGCAGCAGCGCAGTTCAAAAGATAGTCACAGAGTACCTTCTCCTCTGAAGCTATAAAAACAGTATTTTCGAGATATCCAACCGTTGGAGCAGTCACCGTTTCGTTAACTTCATAAGCAGTGTTTTTTTTAATATACCTGTAGAGGGAGGTATGGTTCAGGTTGTAACTCGAAGCCGCGTCACGGAGACTTTTCTTACTTCTTCTGCTGCGAGATCATATATTTCGCGACTCGCCATACCCCTGTCAGTCTTTCTTTTATAATCAGTAGGCATGCTGAAACAAAAACAACAAATTAAATCAACAAAAAAACTTTTTTTTTGTGCTCATTATTTATTGACTGCTGTCTGATATGAAATTGAAAACGAGGAGAGTTGAAACAGCCTGTTTCAAATGTCCTCATTAAGAAAAAACCTCCCAATTTTTATTTAATCCACAACCAAGAAGCAAATACACAGAAATCAATAGTACCAATTATATATAATATGTCTTTAGTTAATGAGCCTTCGAAACATATATAACTTAAACCAAAATACAAAACCCTTATCAAAATATAGGCATCGTACAAAAGCGGTAAAAACTTACTTTTCACGATTTTTGTCACATGGCACGCAGATCTTCACAACCGCGCGACTTACGCCACCGACGCGAACTGACACGTCAGCGGACGGATGGAAGTGGTTAAAAAGCGACGTTGATAACTCGCTAACGGTTTTAAGTTTCTAGAAATCCGTACTGTTTCAAATCACCTTTGTTTCAAATCCCCTCGGTCTCCCCTACTTAATATTTAAGTAAAAAACAAAACAAAATAAATCACTTATCTTAAGAACAAATTAACTTCTAAACTTATTCGTCGTTTTCTATGACACTTTTATTAAGAGGAGGGAGAGTTTTCTATTAATTGACAAGAATTTGGATACTCTGAATTCATAATATTATCACCATTAATGGAATACTGTAAGTACCAAGTAGGTACCTAACTAATGTTTGTTTAGGTATAGCATTAGCGAGAGACTTAAACAAAAAAATATATATTTAGATAGTTTGGTTAAACTTGATTCTAATATAATCTATGTATTAGTTTCTTATAATGAATTATTTTGTGATGTTTAATACCTACTCTTATGCCATAGCACATAATAAAACTTAGCGAATTTAAACTAAATAACAATTAATCCAGTTTCGGTTTCGGTCGTAGTTTCGGTAGGTTTGCCGCCGAAACCGAAACTCGTCCGAAACCGAAACCGAACTTTCGGTCGGACACTATTTATAACTTATCTCTAATATGTCATTTATCGCTCTCAAATCTTTTTCTGTTTTTTTTCAAATTTTATCAAAGCCATTTTCTTAATGGGATCTACATTTACAGGTTTTTTTAATTTATTAAATAAAATAATGTACCAAAAGATCTACTTGTTAGGAAATAAAAATTTGATTCAGGTTCTGTAAGGGAGGAGTTATTATATTGCCTCACTTTTATGAAGTCCTCATAATCACTTTTTCGGGTTATATGAGTTATGTTATGACAACAAAATTTATAGGAAGTAATTTTTTTAAGTTTTCTCACTAAAAATCCAGCTATATAATTGATTGTTGACCGACCAATTCTAGTTTTTCTATTGCAAATTTCAGGAATTGCACTTGTTTCAATTTCTGACTATAAGAGCGTAACTCCCGGTATTACCTCGCCCGTCAGAAAACATCTTAGCTGATCTAATAAACCTTTTGTTTGGTCTTCCTCACAGTTGGAGTTAGGTGAATGTGATGAAAAAAAGTTATTGACAATTAATGATTTGAAAGATTCCTTAAAATGTGACACAGAAGGACATTGTTTCTAATGCCATGCAACCTAATTAAACCAAAGAAATTTTCCAACGGATCTTGGTTAATTTCCCTTAAACAAAGATGAGTATTTCTCAAAATAAATGTACGTAACGAGAAGGTAGTAACGAAATATTGTTACGAAATAGTCCTTAGATGTAACTAAATAGTAACCATAAGGCTCGTTATACATTGGCGAAATATTGTGAATGCTCTTCATTAATTCAATCCGAAATATTTGTAAGTATGTACCCAAATACTTAAGGGGTTAGAAATAAAATAAGGGAGTAATCATTCATTTATTTATTTTAATCAAATTAAAAAGTTTTCCAATCTTTTGAAAATTAAAACCAGACGTTGTTAAAAAAAAAATATAATTAGAATCGCTATCCATTAGCGCTTTATACATTTCTTCCTTATCTTTATAATAATTAAATTCTTTCCGAAACACATTTGGTTTGACAATCCGTTTTTTAATCTTTGGATCACATCGCTTTGGCCCGTGAAGATAATTATTTAGTGATAGAGGTTTAAGTCCTTTATAAACCACTTTCTTTTTTGTGTGTATATTTTCCAGTTTTTCGTCGTTAAGAGTAGTAAGTCCACATATTTTGCCTTTGACTTTGTGAGTGCCTTCAATTGGTACATCTATGTACATTGTCCAAATCATTGAAATTAAACTCCGGTTCATTAAATGACATTGCATCACACATAATTTGTATATTTCTCAGCCATAGTTAAAACTTCGTCACTTACTAAATCCTCGAGAATTATTGGCTTTGTGATATCAGTTGTTGATCCTTCTTCCGCATGACTTTTTATTTCTTTACTTGGTATGTCTGTTTCACCTGTTTGTTTTAATACATTCATTATATCAATTGGATATTTGTCTACTTCCATATCTTTTTGTTGCTTTACTATTTTCTTCCCTGTTCCTTTTCCTTTATTCTTAAAGTTTTCTTTGCCTTGTTATGTTTCGTCTGTCTTGAGGCGTTTTACTTCAGTATCATAGAAAGCATGGTTTGCAGACAAAAATCTTGACGAAGATAACAATGTTACTTGTTCTGGGGGTTGTCATTTAACTTTTCCCTCCTTTGATGTGTCCTGAACATTAAAAACATGCCATTAAAGCGTATTTAAAAATAATAGTTTTTTTTTTAAATAATTGATTTTAAAAGATATTTCTTAGTTTTTTATTTGTGTTGACCTGTGTTTGACCCTAAAATACGTCAAAAATCATAAATCTCTTTAATATTTGCTCTCAAATTGCCATTCACCTCTAAGTCTCGATCACTCTCTCTGTCATCTATAATGGGTAAATTATTGTCCTCATTCGAAAAATCCGCATCTATCAGATCTGATTCACTATGACAATTTATACTGACATCACTCTCCGTCGTAGTAGAACTATTTATTCTTTTGAATCTTTTTGCTGCTGGTTTTTGTTTTTTCAAGGATTGTCTATTGTTACTACATGATGCTTTTGGTTCTGATAGGGTGTTGGATAGAAGTTCATGTTCTTTAGTGTAGTAACAATCACAGCAGATGTTTTTATTACAATCAAAGCAGCTCAGCAATTTATATTTAATTGTCGTGTTGCCATCCGTTACAATTTGATGCAGCTTCATTGTTCCTTTTATAGGAATATTTTCAGGGATATTTTTGGTCATCTTCTCAATGTCGTTTTCATTTATATAAAACATTTTTACTTTACTGTTAACCATTAAATAGTCATATGCTGCTTTTGCGTTGGTTATGTCATTGCCATGTGATATATGATTGTCAAGTTGGCGCTTTAATGTCCCACCAACCCCGTCAGCTGGCCCTTTGCCGTGAGAGGCTTCAAAAAAATTCCATATTGCATATTCAAATACGTATTCTTTTATATTCTGTTGGAACAAGAAGAAATTATGTTTTTGGCGGTACTGACTTGCAGGGCTATCAGAAAATACATGAATCTTTTTAATGGTAAAGTGTTGGCATAGTTTCATTATTGGATCCAAATGGGCCCAGATTGCTCCAGGACCATGTTCATTACTTGGGGATATGGAGCATATCGATTGGGGATTCACATTTTTTCTATAAAGGACGCAAGTGTGCAATGTGACTTGATTTCTAGACCCTCCGAAGTGTACCGCCTGAATTTCTCCAGACTGCTTGCACGAAAAGTTTTCTGAAAAATCGCAAATCAATGCAGCTTCGTCTTCATCAAGGTTATACACTTTTTCCACGCTAAGTACTGATGTTGAACATTGTAGTAGTAATTTAAATTTTTGAACATCATTTTGAAATTCTTTTATCAATGTATTCACTGTCCCTTTCACTACCTGTTTTGAATACTTTTTCGTCTGTTTTTCTACGCACTTCTTTTTGTCAATTTTAATATAAGTGTGTGTGCCCATTTTCCATTGAAGCCACTCCACGGGGCTGTCTTCATTTATTGTCAAATCAACAGCTAGTTTCTTATTTTTGCATCCAGAACACTCAGAGTACATGCATTTAAAACATTTGCTGCAAGTGACATTTTTCATAAGCTCGTCAATGTCAGATGTTTGAAGCAAACCTAGCTTCTTCAACGATATTGCCTTGAAAGATAAATTACTATGCTTTATGCAAGCACAAGTATTCCTATCTTGAAGTCTTGGTTTCACAACGGAGAACGGTCGAAAACGATAAAAAGTTTGCAAAGACGCTGTACCACCCTCTATCCTATATTTTCTATAGAGCTTGTATATTGGTTCCATTAAATATCTCTTTTGCACTTTTTCTTTGTTTCTCGTTATGCACTCGTTTTTTCCCGCACTAGGTCTACTTACATCTTCTCTTTCAAAGAAATCTTGTATATCTTTCTTCCATTTCTTTTTTATTTCGTTTTTTGACTTCGTCTTTCTTATTCTTCCTTTCAGACCAAGAACATTAGAAATAGCTGTTTTTAATTTGTATTTATTTGCAATATCGTTGGTAGCTACTTTTTTAGTACTTTCTTCTCTTCGGTATCTGCTTTATTAAACTCTGTTTTTAAAGAATCTGTAATTGTGTTTAGCAAAATTAACTTTCTTTTTACCTTTTCTTTTTCCGTCATGGACACATTTGGTAAAGTTTCTTCTAAAAAACTATTCGATTTTGTTAATGGTGTGTCGTCACACTGTCGAGTTTCAATGGAAATAGCATCATTATCAGGCCTAATTTGTTTGGGTAAACGTTTTTTCAGAATTTCCACTCGCTTTTTCTTTCGATTACAGGCCTGTCTTAAATTCTTATTTCGTCGTTTTAATTGAGTATTTTCTTCAGTGAGCTTTTGTAGTCTCTCCTTTAGGATTGTTGTATTATTTTTAGCATTTTTTCTTACTTCTAATGTGTTATTTTGTTTTGTTGTAGAGTTTTCCTTTTTTTTTTCTTTCAGCTCTTTTAGCATTGGCTTGCCTCCACTTTGCTCGAAGCTCTTGTTTTTCCTCTTCTGTAAGCATTTCTTTTTTCTTTTTGATATTTTCTTTAACTTTTTCCAAATGTTTAACACGGATTTCCTCATATTTACTTGGTTCTCAAGCGAAGTGAAACAAATCCGCGAGGCTTTTTAACCGACTTCAAAAAAGAGGAAATTCTTAAGTAAGTATAAGGGGTAAAAAGTATGTAAGTAAGTCATCAACATCATCATCATCACATCAACAGCCTTTAATAGTCCACTGCTGGACATAGGCCTCTCCTTAGAAAGAAGGTTTTGGCCTACTATACCACGCTGGCCAGACGGCTGTAAGTAAGTATAAGGGGTAAAAAGCTGTTAAATCACATAAAAACGTTATCTAAATGAATAAAGATGAATTTTGATTTTTTTTTGCTGGTGGCACTTCTGTAGAGCAGATATATCCAACCCTTTTGTTATTGACGCTCTGTATATTTTTTTATAAATTAAGTAGTGAATATTACTATGCTTAGTCATTTTATAACAGTATACACTCAGCTTTATGTTGTACTTTTTCGTTACGTAACGAAATTCGTTACGAAATATTAGACAAAATGAGGTTAGAAAAAGTAATTTTTTGATAAAAGCTGTTACAGCAAATATGTAAGCTTATTAAATGTTCGTACCACACGTACAAAAAATGGGTAAATGAAGACTTACCGTTTTGTGAAAAATGGCTGATATATATTTCCTGTCAAGAAAATGTGTTCCACAAATCACACACGTTCTCACTGATTTTCACGATAAATGTAATGGTGGAGACGTCGAACCAACAACCAATCAGAATGACGCTAGTGTTGGCCGTGTAAAAAAATTACGGAATCGTTCAGAGATCATGGGAAAGTAGAAATAAATCGTAACTAAAGAGTTATAACTAAATAGTAAATGAAAGCGACTCATTTTGTTTTTTGCTTTAAATTGCCAATTCATTATGAAACCCCATAGAAAATCACTTTGATACAGAAACTGCGATTAATGTAGACCGATGATACAAAGAAATTTACCATAATTGAGTTACGTATCGCATTTTATGTTCGCAAATAGGTTTTTGTATGAAAGGTAAAAAACAACTATTTTTAAAATATCTAAATATTTGGTAATAAGTAAGATTATAGTGATAATTCTTCGTTATCTTAAAGATTAATATTCATCCTACAAAATTGTGTGTGTGGATTTTTTGTATGATGATTTATAAATATATAACTTTTGAACTATTTCGACGCACACTTTTTTTGCAAAGATGTACATGTTTTTTGAGAAATACTCAGATACAACTTTGGATTGTCACTTAAAAGTAGTTTTTTTTTATAAATAAAACCCTCCAAGTTAATTTTTTTTTTTTAAAGAGGGTACAACAACAAACTTGTTTTTCTTTTTATTGAAATACCTCATAGATTTCAGAACTTATAATTGTTCTAACCAGTACTCTTTTACTGGAAGGCGCTAATTTGCAGTGCGAGTTACAGCTGTCAAATAATTTATCCAACAGAAGGATTAGTTCAGCAGTATCACATGCCTCTGTCGGTAAATTCTGTGCACCTTTTATATCTGAAATACCAACAATAGTCGATGATTTAAAAAAATATAGACTGTGGCTCATTTTTAAATGGACCGATATCTATACTGCTTAAATATATTTTTGATTTACCAAACATAGATATAAATTATAAATAAATCATATTTTAAAAAATGTGGGGTCAAAAGTAAAGAAAAACATATTTGTAAACTTATAAATAATTCATTGTTTCCTCCACTTCTACAATTACAATTATTTTATATAAAATGTTCTCAGTACTTAAGCAACACTTACCCCACTTAGCAATTCGATCCATCAAACAACAATTACAATTATTTTTATATAAAATGTTCTCAGTACTTAAGCAACACTTACCCCACTTAGCAATTCGATCCATCAAACAACCGACTTTGTTACTGAATACTTGTGTGCAATGGGACACCTTCATTTTGTTCATCTTCTCAGGAAGAACATGACCTGCGGTCGAAGTGGGACATATTCTGTTTTCTTCTTCCATGTCGAGGTAATAAAATTCAATAATGTGTTGAAACTTGGCCACCTTCTTTTGACTATTAATTTCAAAACACAAGTCTTTTGTCAAAAGATTATTTCGAATCCCTTTAAATACATGTGGTATATCATAAATGTGAACAATTTCTTCACCATCAATTAAATAGCCATGGTGGCAATTATTCACATTATGCCTCTTACATTCATCCGCAGTGTCTTTAAGAAGAGAGTTTATAGCTGCTTGATTGTTCTGACCTTGATCGCAAATAGAACAAATTACTCTCAATCCAATTCTGCGACACTCCCTAATAACATTTATGATGATTTTTTTGAGTTCCAATCCTTTACTTGCTCCACTTGAAAATGTATAGGCTATGGGCTGCTTCCATCTGCGGAATATCCCCTTGATAAAAACTTCATTTGCATAGTCTGCTAATAATGGTTTTCTTAACATCCCATCATCGTGTATTCCCTCAATGCAGTCCTCTTTTGAATCGTATTGTGTGTTTATACTCAGAGACATTTCATCAAACAAAACAGCACAAAATCTCTCATGAACTTTCATCTTCCTAACGGATGGTTCCAAAACATCAAAAATGATTTTATCAATTCCTGTTTTGAAAGGAATTTTATTAAGGAAGTTCATAAGTGTACCCTTACTTGGAAGAGCAAACATTTTTAAAGTAGCTGGTAACCTCTGCTTCCACATTTCAACAAAGAGAGTGCAAGAACTTTTTCATCAGTAGTAAATCGCCTAGCTTGTGGTTCTTTACGCTGATTCTTTACTTGGCACATTATGAAATCATATGTAATGGAGTAATGTATTGTATTGTGTTAGATTTGTAAACATTTTTGAAGCAGCAAAAATTTTCAGCATGAGCTAGTCTTGACTGATATGACATAATTCTTTTTTGCATATTGTTTGCATCTGAATAATACTTCATCACCTTTTTATATAGATGTTTGCACTTTGGTGTGAGTTGTTTTCTTCTTGTCAAGCCAATTGTGCCAAGGATGTGGGTATATGGGCGAGAGTGTTCTGTAACAACAGGGAAAAAAACAAATTAGGCACAACACAGTATAGAAATGTATTTAGTCATATCAATGTTACAGTATTTTAGGGTTCCGTACCTCAAAAGGTAAAAAAGGAACCCTTATAAGATCACTTTCTTGTCCGTCTGTCCGTGTGTCACCACCGATTTTCTCAGGAATGGGTAGACCTAGCAAGTTCAAATTTATACCAGATACTGAAGTCTATGGTCCCTATTAGGTGTATAAAAATCAAGGTTCTGAATCAACACGATAAAAAGATATTTTTTACTAAAAACTTTTTATTTTTTTAATATATTTGTTTTCTATTTTAAATTAGTGTATTGTCACCGGTCCTCGATATATCTACAAAGTTTGAACGAAATCTGGCCATTAAAAGTCAATCAAAATAACCGCCAAAGGAGTCAGTTACAAACAAACAAACAAAAAAAACATACAGGTGAAGCTAATAAAAAGCTCGTAAAAAAATAATTTGTGACCATGCCTAAAACATTATATTCCCTACGTGATTGGAAAAAAAGTCATTATGAGAACATCCAAGCCTGACCAAAACCAAGATCAATTATTAATTAAATAAAATATAACATAATAATACATTTAATAATAAAGGTAAACACCCCAATGATGGACACTTTGAGAAGAAAATTTTGGTATTTCACAAAATTCACTTATACCCGTGAAAGTTTTAACACAAAACGTAGTGAAAATTGAAAGTCCAATATTTACTCTATTTTCTGCTTTATTTAATGTAGGGCACTTTAATTGGTTTTAATGTTATTAACAAATAAAAAATTTGGATTTTTTTAACCAGTTATGGACACCCAGTAATAAACAAGAACCTAATATGGACAGCCAGTAATAAACAAGAACCACATATGGACACCTAGTAATGAACATAAATCATAAGAAGCCTATGTTAAATTAACTGTGGAATATTATTTCGTATATAAAATAATACAAACTTTTATTTTGATTAGCTTTTAATGTAATTGCAGTCGTAACAACATTCACATTATGTACTTAAAACTCTCGAAAATGGACAATGAGATGATCAGCATTAAAGAACTTAAACATTATTGTTATTTCTCTACAAGTATCTAAAAAGTCACTGAAAAGTTCAAAACTACTCTTAATCAGCCTTTTATGTACTAATATTTATTTATATATTATGTTATACATATTTATATATTTATATCTTTCATGTATTAATCAGTCATTTACTTATGAACTACAAGTTACTTTGGAAAGTAACATATACATATATTATCAGAATCAACAATGCTACATTATCTTTTCCGTCACAAACTATAAAAAACAAAATAACTAATATCTTTAAAAAAATATAACAATTAAGAAGTAAAAACAGAGTTTTTTATTCCTTTACAGCATAAAAACCTCTTTTGTTAATCAAACTTGGCGGACAAATCTGCTCCACGATTTTTTTTTTTTGGTACCACATCTTATCAGGTTTATCTGGCCATTTATAGGTGTTTCCTGTTGAAAAGGTCATCGTGCTTACTTCAAACTCATTTTTATTTGTATTGTCAATAACTCCAGGAAAATGTTGCTCTTCATATAAAACTATCACGTAATTTCCCTTTGATAGTTTTTGGGACGAAAGCAATGTACTCAATGGCGCATCGTCCGATTCCGATCCTTCAGTCGAGACGTTTTGTCACTTTCAGCGTAAATGACTTCATCCTCAGTTTCAGATGATTCAACTCTGTTTTTTCCTTTATTTGAAACTTTTTTCTTGTTATTAACACGTTGACTGCCAACTACGATATAACTCGTAGATTGCGTTCTTTGCTAGGACGCCGACTACGAGTTATCTCGTACTAGGTTTACTTAACATTTTCGCGCAGCTACAATTAAACTCTTAGCATATCAGTGCTAATATGGATAGATGGCTTCTGGGAAGAGAACAAAAAATCAATGCTGGCTACATGAACAGAAATTGTATTAATAAATAAACAGAAAATATAATTATAGAAAATTTATTCAAAATCAAGAAGTAAAAGAATATTTTTATTAGTCCAAGATCCCAGAGCGATAAGACACAACTTATTTTCACATAAATGAAACCTCATGTTCTCAGTAGTGTCTTATGTGCTCAGAATACCTGCGCGCTTGTGGAGCTTGCCGAGTGACACCTGGGCAGGTACCAGGTGTGAAAGGTAACTAAAATTAATAGTTACCTAACTTAAATTTTCATAGCTGATTTTTAAATATATTTTGTAGAGTGTTATTATAAAGTTATACCATAAGCGTCAGACACTTTTCGTGGGCCAGTACTTTTGTCAGACGCTTTAAAGCTCTACAAAAAATAAATTAACTTAACTTATTTTTACATGTCTGACATTTAAATATGTTGTTCAGACAATTGTTACGAAGTTATATTTAATTAGTCAGACAAAATTGATTGACCAAACACCCCCTAAACAGCAAAATTATTCTGCCGTGAGTATGAGCGCGAAAGCATTATGCGCATGCGTCTTAGAGTAAATATATGAAAAATACTTACGGTACAGCTTCCGATATAAAATTTTTGCATCTCTATTTCAATATTAACGTAATAATTAGTCAGTATGAAAGTAAATTAATTCATTTAATATTTCTGGTATAATTAATCTGTTCAGAGCTATTTTTTCTTAGAGTTTTTTTTATTTCATTGTTAAAAATATCATTTGAAATTATTTTTTTTACAAAATCATTTTTGTAAAAAAAAAATTACCCATAATTAATTAAAATAAGCATTTATTTTATTGTTTAATCATCGCAATCATCATAACAATTATTTGAATTTTCATCATTTAACCAATCACGATACTGTCCAACTAAGTCATCATCTTCATCGTCATCAGTTATGTTGTTGCTGACATCTTCTTCTGCAAAAAATAATCAAAAGAATTAAAATACATAAAATTACTAGTTAAATAAATTTTAATCTTGAACTCTAATTATAGTACCTGATTGTTGAAGAGATTCACCAACGTCCCTTGGTAATTGGTCACCATCAAACCAATGAAAGTGAAACTGGTTTTCCTCTAACCTCCATCCATTTTGTTCAGGAGTAAAAATGGTTGGTTGTTTTTCATGAGCATAATTCCATATGCTAGAAATGTAATTAGCTCGTAGAAATTGTTGAAATAGCTCAGTTTTACACGGTGGTAAGCTGCTTGCATCAAAGTTTTTTAAATTTTTACGGTTAAATTCTTCATTTATATTAGATACGCTGTTATTATTTAAAAATAGCTGAAGACGGGCAGCGTTAACATCGTATGTATCAGGAACACTATAGATTTCACAGATAAACTTTTGAATAGTCTTGAAAATATCTTCTTGTCTGTGCTCATCGGTTAATAATTCAGGATCACCAAAGTGCATCAAAGCTTGCTGATACTCAGGTCTCTTCATTAATATTTTAAATGGTCTTTGTTTACCTTTTTTTAAAAAGGCAGGATTATAGTCACATCCGGTTAATGCATGAAATCCTGGCAAACTTCGACACAAAGATGATCCCAAGTTCTCGTACACTTTTGTCAAATTAATATATCTTTGGTTGTTTCCGGTGCCTGCGTTTAACCATACATTGGAACCATCGTCTTTCAAATTATGCATATGTCCTAACATAATAATCGCTATATCGGTATCAGAACATCTTACAACAAAATTTGCCTGAACGTCAATATTACAAATATGAAAGACGATTTTTGTGTCTGCCTCTTCATGCTCTGGACATGATAAACTGTCATCTACAGTTGACACAATTTTGTTATCATCAACTACGTAGGAATGACATTGCTTAAAGTTAATAAGTATGTGTTTATTCTCAACGAATGGTACCATTTCATCAGATGCCCAATGTTGAATAAAAAACTCTACGAGGGCTTCTTTAAAATGAATATTTTTTAATTCTTTCAAAAAATCTGATGGTCTAACTTGATCGGGGCCAGTAATGTTAAAATCCAGTTGAGTCGACTCTCGGCGAAGATCTCTTTCGTAATCTTTGATCGAAGGAGATAGATATTGATCAAAAATAACGTCGTATCTTGTGTCTGCAAACTGTGTTACCAGTAGGAGCATTTTTTTAGAGATACCTCCGAATGTTTTTGGGACATTTTTCATAGTATGTAGTAAAAAGAAACCATCTATTAATAAAATATCAACTCGATCAGGTGCAATGTGCTCTACTCCATTCTCTAAAGATTTCATCACAGACGATTTCTGGGTTTTACAAATGGCTCCATCAATATGACACATGGATAATGGCATAGGAGTAATTGGATAAGACAACACTTTTTCTGTATCAACTTTGTAATCTAAAGATATCCCAAGAATACGCCCAAACAAATCTCTTTGCATTCTTATCTCTTGTATTTTACCACCTAATTTGCTTTTTTTCTTTTTAGAGTAATCCAGTGTAAAGTTTTCCATAGGTGTTTTCTGAATACTTTTCTCGAATCTGCTAATACTTAACGTTACCATGACGTTGGACAAGCCGCAATCGGCTATAAATTTTCCTACAGCTTTAAAATATGACATCATGATGTGGAATGGTCCCAAATGGATAAATAAATTGTCAAACTTAGGTGCTTCGGTAGATTGAATTTGTAAGGCTACCTT